AAGTGACAGAGACTGGCTCATGTGTGAATGTCTGTTGCTTGGGGCTGTAATGTTTGATCCATACCAGTTGAAATCATGTTTACTTTTTTTGAGGATTCTTCAAAGGCACGTAAAATTGTCATGTATTAAATATCTGTTTTTACCCTGCCTTTGGGTTCAGTTGACTTTTGGGCCACAAATTCTGGAAGTGGAGGAAAGGCACTACAGAAAAGTGCAGAAAACGTACATTGGGAGGCTGGGTCTCATGGTTTTTACTGGTACTCAGGGTCGTAATTAACTTTCTCATACCTCATCTTCTTTGGAAAAGATCTTCAGAATACTATCCCACTTTGACATTCTAAAGTTCTGCAGTGTGGGAGTAGGAGTCCTCTTACCAAGAAGCAAGTGAGCAACAAACTAAAACCTGCAAGTATCTTCCCTGGTAATAATGCAAAGGTACTATACATGGTTTTACCTGCTATCTATTTATCTATCTATCTATCTATCTCTATCTGTCATTTATCTATCTTCTTTCTTTTTTAGTACTTGAGATAGAACACAGAGAGTTCTCAGCTACATCTCCAGATCTTTTAATTTTTTATATTTTGAGTGAGAGTCTGGCTAAGTTACCCAGGCTGACCTCGAATTTGCTATTGACTTGCTACCCTTTTCAGTAGCTGGCATTGCAGAAGTGTACCACCATGTTTTATAACACATGTTGATACATGTATATATAACACACGTCCACTATATACATGATACATACATCATATGTACACTAACATTTGTGACACAAACATATATGCATATACAGTGGTTCCTCGGTATCTGTGAGCAACCAGTTCTAGGACTCTCCCTCCCGCAGTGGATATCAAAATCCATGGGTGCCCAAGACCCTTATATAAAATAATATTTGCATAAAACCTACATGTATTCTCCTGTGTACTTTTAATGATCTCTAGATTACTTGTACTACTGAATATAGTGATTATATTAGGCAAATATTTATTATAGTGTATTGTGTAGAAGATAATGACAAAAAGTGTCGATATGTATTTAGCACACATGATTTTCTCTGTCCGTGGATGTAGAGCTGTGGATATGGACAGCTGACTGTATATGATGCATACATCACACCTGTGTACATATTTATGCATATTTATCTGATTCTCTGTATCTCTGTCTCATGTGCAGTTTCTACTAAATATCAGGCTGTGCACTATGTCTGTCTCACAGGTGGTATCTGCTGACATCAGACTCCGCACTGTAGGACGTTATAGCAGACACAGATGACGGGCTCGGAGCAGGGCTCCGCAGCCAGACTCTTTCCCATGCTTGAATCTTGGCCGTGCCCCTGGCAAACTGGGTGACTTTAGACCTTTCACTGGCCTTATTTCACCTTGTTTTTGTCTTTCAGTTGGGCACACGTTGCGCAGGTGTACCTCAAGGTGCTGGTGTTAGGGTTAAATGAGGTAACAGGTGAGACATACTCATTAGCTCCTGGCCCATTGTAAACAGTGTGTACATCACTACTCTCATCCGGTTCTCGCAGGAGCTCTATCAAGTAGAGACTGCTGTCTTTATGTGTGCGGCATCTAAAGGTGTTAAGAGAGCATGTATCTTGTGGGTCTTGATAGAATTGTTCTGGCCAGAGAAGGCTGTTTGACACAGCTCCTTGGGGCAGAAACTTATCACCAGGCAGTGAGTCATAGGCTGGATTTTAAAGATTTCCATCTTGAAGTAATGCATGCTATTTTCCTTCAAATTTCACTGGCAAATCAAGTCAAATGGCAAGTCAAACGGCTGCACCTAACCTCAAGGAGGCAGGACAGTGCAGTCCTGCAAAGAAACTCTTGCAAGGAGGAGAGGTAAAAATATTGGTAAATAGCAGTAAGGCTGCTACCATTCATCTCAATGTGCTAGCATTCATCTCGAGTTCCGTTTTGTTTACTTTCACACTTCTATTGGTCCAGATAATTTTACATCTGGTATGAACTGTATTCACTACCAAAATTTGAGAGGCTATGGCAATTGCCTGAAAACTTCCTCTAGCCTGGTAGTGATGTACTGACTACAGTTGTGAAATAGTTTCAAGTTCACTTTATTGTCCTTAAGGTGATCCTGAGAGGTTTTATCACATTCTTTGCTGAAATCAAGATGCACTGTTTGTATTTTTTGCCCTTGACTTACCAACATAGGGTTGCTAGCAAAATAGGAAATGAAATGTGTGCTATGATTTGAATGCTTGTCCTCTCCAAAACTCATACTGAGATTTCCCTGGCATTATAACAGTGTGAGGAGCTGGGACCCTTGACAAGTGAGGAGACTATGAAGGCTGTTCTGATGGGTGGAAATAATGCCTTTTCAGAAGGGCCTCCTATTGCACTCTCTCTCCTTTCTCTTTCCACCATGTGCAGATACAGCAAGAAGGCCCCTGACAGATGCTGTTTTTATTGGATTTCTAGCCTTCACAACTGTGAAGCAGAAGTTTCTGTTTGTTATAAATTTTGCAGTCAGTAGCATTCTGCTACAGCAGCACAAAGTGGACTAAAACATTGGGTTGAGATAGAGGTTTGATGTTCTGTAAGTTTGGAATGACATGAACAAAAGCATGGGTAACTGATCTTTGAGCTTTTATTTAAACCTAGAGACAGTATTATTTCCACTAATTCTGTTAAAATGACAGGGTAATATATTGGTTGAGTTTCAGGGGGTCAAGTAGATGGTTGGAAACTGTCAACCAGCTACCAGACTGACCTTCAGTGCCTACGGAATAACGATAGTGATAATATCTGAGAGTGATAATAGTAAGAATACACTTGCACAGGGCTTTGCACACGGATGCTTTGGACCTAGGGTGTGCAAATCCACTGGTCCAAAACCAGTCACCTGGACTTACATTTAAACTGGAATAGTCTTCTTTGTAGCCTGGAGAAAAAAATGGAATGGTCTTATATTATTTTTGTCATAACATGTTTTTTAAAGATCAATAAAAGAACCCCATTTGGAAAAGGGAACATTATTTGCAACATTCAGAAATTAATGTCCAGAAAATAAATCCATGGTTAAATTCTCTCCTATTTCAAAGTGTTATGCAATTCACAATTAGAGAGGTTGCTTATGATACACTGAATTGTAATTTTTAAGTAGCTCACAACCTTATTTCACAGACACCCCCCCCCCCCGACTTTACTTGTGATGGACAGGAGGAGCAGCATCATTCATTCGTCTAGAACTTGAAGTAGAAGTTAGTTTCAGAGGGAAATGTGGCCTGGCACCACCTGATAACGATGAGACTGGTGCCAGCAGAGGGTGCTGCTGTGGCACACAATTAAGAAATTTTTTTTAGAGAGGTGGTATCAGATAATCTAAGACAGCAGGTGTGCGGGAAAAATGTAATAGCTGCTCGGATCCACTTGGAGGTATGAATTACCCCGCTGCATGCAGACCCATCTGCATGTGAGTGTTATGGGCCGGTAGTCGTATGCATTTTAGGCACCTCATGACATTTGACATCTTTGTTTCTGTGTCGGAGTGTCGGAGCAGGGCCGGCAGAGGCCAGTTTGGTGCCTGTTTCCACGGAGGGACTTTTAACAGCCCCTGGCTGCTCATCTGTAGCAGCCAAACGCACCATGCACAGTCCCTCGTTTCTTATTTGTCCAGGTTCTGCAGAAGCACTCTTATGTTCCTTAAAAAACAGACTGTCAATTCACAGGAATCACACTTTCTGTTTTTCATGTGCCCCCCTTAAAAACAATGTGACAAAGACGGGGGAGCCTCTAGGGTAGAGACTGTGAAAGGTCGGGCAGTGGAAACAAAGCCGGCTGCATTTTGTTCAGTGGAGCTGGACCTCGGTGGCTGTCGCAGCAGGAACAGCTTAAACACGACGTTCAGAAGAGTCCCTCTTCCCCAAGTAGGTCACTGTGAATACTACTCTCTCGCTAAGTTCCCTCGTAAATCCTGCGCTGGCAGAGCCTTTCCAAACCTGCATTTCCGAACTGTTCTGACTGCGTTCTGGGCTGGAAGTCAAGTGACCCACTGGGGCCCAGTCCAGCCTGTCTGGGCCTCAGTTTCCTCCTCTGTTTAATGACAGTACTAGGCACATCCCGAGGCCTGTTCCCTCTCCCGCCCGCTACGGAGGTCAGACATTTCTGAGCTGCACAGCCAGCGGGCCGGGGAGAAGAGATCGATCGATCAGCACCAAGAACAGGGCCCGGGGTCCTCGGCGCGCACTCAAGGTCACTTCCAAACCAGCTGCGCCCAGGAGCGAGTGTCGAGGAGCTGGGTTTTTCGGGGGCAGCGGGAAAGCTGTGGGTGCGGGGTCCGGGGGACAAGCGTCAGGTCTCGTGGGAGGTGGGGTGGGGTTGGGCAGCCCCAGAGAACGAGGTCGGACCGGTGCCCCCTGCGCTCTCGCAGATTCGGCTCCCAGAGGCGGCGCGCCGCGGCTGCTGCGAGCAGTCCGGGGCCGCCCTCCCGCCTGCGTGCCCCTCTCCAGCCTCTTTGCAGCCCGAGTGTCGCTGAGCTTCCCGGCCAGACCCCGCCGCCACCCCTGCGCCCTCTGGGCTTCCTCCGGCTACGCCCGAGACTCTGATCCCTCAGCGCCCGGGTCCTGGGCCGCCGGCCCGAGACCCCGCCCCCAGGTCCCCGCGGC